TGTCTGGGGCCTGCTAATCACAGTTCCTCTGTTTGGATTTGCAGTTCCCCTCCAATAGCCTGGCCTGGCCCACACTCCCCTGTGCACACCTGGAAAAGGTAAACTTCCCTTTAGTGATAGCTTTGAGGTGCAGTCGTAATTTTTATTTTTGCTTTTGTTGGCAGTGGTGCTTTCATCTGCTCAAAAGAGCAATTTCTCTCTCTCTGCTGCTCCCGGAAGCTTGTTTAGGACATGTTTCCTGTCAGAGAAGTTATATTTAATGACTCTAATATTATGAAGAAATCTGACATTCGGGAAATGTGGGCGGGGGAGGTGGTGCTCAGAAGTAGCAGAGGCCCAGAAGGCAGCTGCCTGTGGAGCTGCCCTTTCCCGTTTGTTGTGTTCAAGAGAGAGCAGCTGCCGGCTTGTCAGACCCGTGAGCGAGCCTGGCGCCAGCCTGCCTCTCCCTCGCTGCACGGATGGCCCTGCGGCCTCACTGTGGCAGGAATATCGGCTCTGGGGGCTGCTGCCTAGAGGTGCTGGTAGTTTCCCAATGATGAAACAGTTCTAGCTTGTGTTTTGGCAAAGCTCAGAGTTGACCTTGGGCTTCAATCATGGGGATTATACAAAATATTGCCTTAGCACAGCTTTCTGTTGCCTATTGTCTGTCTTTCTGCATCTCATGGTGTAAGCTGATTAATTTGAGACGTGGGTGAAAAAATATTGCCTCGTGGACTTTTTCAAGGGCACCAGCTGACCGCTTCAAAGCAGAGGGCAGGGGTTCTGTCCTCCAAAACTATCCCTGGGAGTCAAGGACTGAGGAAATAGCCAGTGGAGACAAACCCCCTCCATTTATGCGAAGGCTACCAAAGGGGTGGCTGCTTGAGGGGAGCTGGTGTCGCTTGTCATCCTGCATCCCGGAGAGCCTGGGAGGGCCAGCTCTGGCACTCATTCAGCCTCGTGTCCAGGTATCTGTCAGAGCTGTGCTCCTTTCTCAGCACGGCCTTTCCGCTTTCAGGACCTTTGCACATGTAACCTGCGTGTTACCTCTGGCACTGCCCTTTGGTCACCTATCCCTGAGTAGTTCACTTAGATGAAAGGGACCAGTGTGAGGGAAAGAAAAGGAAGGCGTGAATAGATACTGTCTCTGTGGTAGGTACGAGGATGAGATTTCCTGACAGCTGACACTTCCATAGAAATATTTTATTCACTCGTTCCTGATCAGCCCCGGGAGGTGGTGTTGCTGTCGCTTTCTGACCTGAGAGAGCAGCAGGGAGACCTGCTGGTCCCGTGGGCCTTGGCAGCCACAGACGGGGTCACCACTGTGTGCCGACGTGGCTGCAGGAGAGCAGTTCTCAGGTCTGGGGATGCTGCTTAGAGAGAGAACTGACAACATTCTCCATCTTTATTTTCTTCATTGGTTTACATACTTTTCATTATTTTTCTGTCCTACATGAAGCCTAGTGCCTCCCTCTGCTCTGCTTATTACATTGGCTGTGATGTTGATTTCCCATAAAAATGATATGATCAAACCAGATTTCATCTTATTTTCCTAAAAAAAAACCCCAAAATTATTATCCTATTTTTGAGTTGGTAGAACAGCATGAATCCCAAAGATATAAATGTTGATCATTATGACTTTTAATCAATCTAAATGAATGCCTTTTGAGTTATTTGTTTTCTATTATATGATCTTATTTATTTATCTAGTATACAGAGGTCGATTGACCACAAGGTAAATTGGATAGGAATTGGCTGACTGCAGAGTCAGTGGTGTCTGAAAAACAAATCTAGGCTTTTCTGTCCAGGTGAGCATTTCTTAGCTAATAATAATAGCACTGACTACTATTTATCGATCTTAACTGGGGTCTTGGCTACTCACTTTTCATGCAACATCACATGCAGTCTGTATGGCAGCTCCATGGAGTAGGTACTGTTAGCATCGTCATTTTCCTAGTGGGAAGACGGAAGCTCAGATCATTCTTTTTTCATGGCTCTAGAGCAGAGGTTGAGAAACTTTTTCTGTAAAAGACCAGAAAGTAGATATTTTAGGCTTTGGGGGCCATACCATCTCTGTCACCGCCACTCAACTCTGCCAGTGTAATTCACAGAAGCCATAGCACATACAAAAACAAGTGGATGGCTGCGTTTCAATCAAACTTTATTTATGGACACTGATAGTTAAATTTACTATAATTACCTTTTTTACAAGTTTTTTATTTTTAATTATGGGTACATAATAGTTGTATATCTTTATAGGGTACATTGATGTTTTGGCACAGGCATACAATGTGAATTAATCAAATCTGGGTAATTAGAGTATACATCACCTTGGGATTTAAAATTTCTTTGTGTTGGGAACATTCCAATTCTACTCTTTTAGTTATTTTAAACTATATCCTAACTTATTGTTAATTATTGTCACTTTGTTGTGCTATGAAATATTGTTTATTTGATCTAACTATATTTTTGTACCCATTAACCATCCCTACTTTATCCCCTCCCCACCTCCCACTACTCTTCCCAGCCTCTGGTAACTGTCATTCTACTCTCTCTCTTCATGAGAGCAATTGTTTTTAATATTTAGCTCCCACATATGAGTGAGAATAAGTGATATTTGTCTTTCTGTGCTTGACTTATTTTGCTTAACATAATGTTCTCCAGTTCCATCCATGTGGTTGCAAATGGCAGGATTTCATTTTTTTTTGTGGCTTCATATACTTTTCTTATGTCATAAAATATTATTATCCTTTTGATTTTTTTTCAACCATTTCAAAATGGAGAAAACAGTTTTCCCTTGCAGGCTGTAGAAACGCACAGGTGGCGGGCCGGGTTTGCTGGCCGCTGGTCTAGATGAGAGGATGGAGGGCAGGGGTGGGGTTAGGAGGGGTGGTAGGAAGACACTCATGCCAGAGGGAGCAGCCTGCATGCTGGTGGCAGAGAGCACAAAATACTCGAGGAAATGCAATAAATGTGTTACGGTTTGATGGGGTATGAGGCAGAACGGCTCAAATAAGAGGAGACAGTGGGGCCCAAGTCATGACCTTGGGGGACATTTTAAGGATTTCGGCTTTGTCCTTATGGCAGTGGGAGACCATTAAAAGTGTTAAGCAAAGGAGGGACAAGTGCAATTTGTCTTTTTGAAAGATCACTGGCTGATGAGTTGAGAATGGATCCCAGGGATTAATAAGAGTGAAAGTAGAAAAACCAGTTAGGAAGCCCGAGAAGTGGGCCAGGTGGGTGACGAGGGGGTTCCTTAGTGGCCAAAGCCAGAACTCTTTCCTGACAACAGTGTTCTCAGGCAGTCATGATGATCAGTTTTGTAGATGGGAAATGTGGCTGGGAGAGAGATGTCTTGCCTGCCAATATCACAGATGGAAGAAGAACAGAGATTAAGACACTGGTCTTCCAACTTCAAATGCAGTGCCTTTTCCTGTGTGATATGAAATTCTTAACATTCTCAAATGGAAACTATATTTATCCTAGTCTACCATTTATCTCTGTACCCTGCAACTGAAAAGCTACTCCTCTCTTTCTCTCTCGTAAGTGCCCATAAATGAGGCTAATGCTTCTTAGGTTTGAGTTGTTAATTTTCATTTCCCGAGGAAATTTATTTCATCATTGAGGGAAATAATCTCTTGTTCAAATGATAAAAAGGCCAGAGATGACACTGTGGTAATGGTTTTATTATTTTTTATGCTGGCATTAGAAAGGTAATTGAATGCTTACTCAAAGTAAAGGTCAGCTTTTCTTATGATTTGTGTAGCTTTCTTTCCCAAATGAGAATTAGCGCATTCTTTTCTAGCTTTGAAAATAAGAAGACTTGTCTGGCTGGGCCCTCAGCGTCACATCCCAGTTCCTGACACTGACACACATCTCTGGGTCAGAGGAACCTGTCATTTGAACAGTATGATGACATGGGGTTGGTGTCCCTTTCAATTGGGTCTGTGTCTGGGGTTGGGGAGGAAGGAAAGGTGAGACTCATGCCTTGGGGCGGAAGGGTGGCGGGTGATTTTCCCTCAGCTCCCCTGAGGGTTGTGCCCTAGAGGAGGTGCTGAGTGATTCTGCTGTGGTGGGTGAGGGAGAGGGAACTTCAGAGAGCTCCTGGGGGCCCAGTGGTAGTGCCTGCTCAGCTAATCTCGGTTTCAGCTGAGATTTCATTAGATTTCTCCTTCTATTATTGTTATTTGTCAATTTGTCTCCCTTTCTCCACGATAAGGGAAGGCCCGTGGGGTGCCGATCTGTGTCTGTCTGCACAACCACGGAGTGCAGCGCCCTCCGCACAGCAGATGCCGAAATTCAGTAACCGACACAGGCTGCGCTGACTCATCACCTTTGGCATCTGTGCTGCACAGTGCAGCATCTTCTCCCAAAGCAGTCAGAATGTTCTAGTCTAAAGTAGTCACAGTTAACAAAGAAGCTATTTGGGAAACCCTGACAATATGACAAATTTTAGGAGCAAGCAGTGGGTAAATTGTGGACTTCTGTTGAGGGTCTTTTCCCATCATGCAGCTTTTCTTGTCCACTTCGCTTTTGTCATCACACTTGGGTTGCTCGTCTTCATGGCTGCATAGTAGGTGCACAGTGACACATACTGAGCTGGTTCATTCCTGGTACTATTGCATTTATTTTCTGTAGGCTCTTGACGTACTCATGCAGGTATAGGTGGTGAGGCTGAAGTTGTAAGCTCAGAGATTTTGATGTACTCTCTCCCTCCTTCCCTTCTTTCCTTTATCAGTTATTGGAAGTTGGTTATATGCCAGGCATTGGGTTAAGTTAACAAAAAAATATACGGCGTCTGACTTCAACTACATTCCAGTCTAGTGGAGAGACAAGAGGAAATATTGGCCATGTGGTATGAGGTGTGGGCTGCTGGTGAGAACCTCTCCCTGGCCCGGTGGGTGGGACCTCCTTGAGGCCTTTGCCACTGAACTCCCGAGTGTGGTCAGGAGTGATTAGGGTATCTGTGCAGTTGTGGATGAATTAACAGGTTCTGCACTTGCCTTTCTCCCTTTGTACAGGGTGGAGATGTCTTCCCAGAGGTTAATTTCTAACAGAACCTCCCAGCAATCTGCATCTAATTCTGATTACACCTGGGAATATGAGTATTATGAAATCGGACCAGTTTCCTTTGAAGGACTGAAGGCTCATAAATGTAAGTCTTATATAATTCCTCATTGTGAGCATAATATGTATTTGCCTCAACCTGTGAAATCCCCAGTGATTAGTTCTCTGGAATAATCTATCTTCTTACAGAACTCTGTCCTCTACCTTCAAACCCCCATGAAACACCCTCTCCACACATAGGCTGATTACTCAAGCATGGTATTCCATGAGGGCCTGGTGGTTCTGATTGATGAACTTAAAAGATTCTCTTCTATTTGGAGAACATGAATCAATGTCAATCTCAGACTGAAACTTTTTAAAAAGCTTTAACCATTCCAGCTCCCCCAAACTGTTAATGTTTGAACTATCAAAAATGCATACCAAAATAGAGTCTGAAACTATTATTTGAAGAATCTTCTTTTGTAACACATAGTGAACAGCATCCTTTCTTCCCGAGTGGTTTTTGGAGCTGTGGAGAGCAATCTATCAGTGTGTGTTCATCATGACAGACGAGAATAGCCTGAGATCATTCCTAACTCCATATTATAGGCAGGGATTGGGTTTCGTGTTATTGGAGTGATTAATGATCCATCACAGAGCCAGGAAATGTAATTCGGTGAAAGGTTGCTCTTCAACTGCAGTCATAACTGAATGCTGGCTAGGCCGGCGTGAAGCATCCTTGTTTCATGAAGTAGAGTTGACATCATAGGCAGGAACTGCTGGCCCATTCCAGGGCCTGTTGTGGTTACCCCATAAACATCCCTGAAATGTTCGCCTGTTTCAGAGTGAATAGCCACAGCACTATAAAATTTTTACATTCATAACTGGTCCAGATTAGTGGGACACATCAGGAAATATAAGAGAGATTAGAATCAAAGATGCAAATGTAGCCAAGGAAATGCATTTGTCCCTTTAATTGTTTCCTGGCTGCTTCTGCTCTGACCTGTCTTGGCATTTATGATCCCTCACACCCAATTGGTACTCCCTTGCAAGGAGAGCTTTCTATTTTTGTTCCTTAAGCAAAATTCATTAACTAAACCACATGTCCTTTACTCCTAAAGTGAATAGTAATAATTAAATGCTTTCCCTCGATCCTATATTGACATCTGTTCAGTATTTCTTTGTGGGGGAAAAACAAAAGCACACGGACTCCATTAGGGCATGCTGTCATTGATTATCCGATAGAAGGCTGTTATAGTCTGGATGTGAAGTCACCCTCCTTAATTTACTTAAATTCTTTACTCTGATGTTTTTCAGGGATAACCTTTATGTAGGGACACTTACTTGTTATAGATAATAATGGAAATCAAAACAACTGGGAAAATTGCCATATATTTCCCTGTAATGTAGGCTTTTACCGCTTGCTGACATCAACTTTATTTTTGTGTCACTTTGGTCCTGTCTCTTTTCCTTAGTCTAAGGGGCACAGAAGACAGGCCTGGTGATATAATTTTCATTGATACATTTCCAGAGACAGCTGAGGAAAATCTTTTTTGAGCATATTATATTCTAGAAACGATTATAGCTGGAAAAATTTCCTGCAAAGCATAGGAAGAGGTGTGACACATTACATGCTTATTTTACCTATTATACCATTAGTAAGGATTGCCTTTGTTAGTTTTAATATTTACATCAAGAAAAAAACAAAAAGGCCCAATCCTTGGGTACTTCCTGTTCTGATATAAAAGATCTGATTAAAAGTGGAGGCCCTTAGTTTCAGGAGTCTGACAGTCTGTCAGACACATAGAGTACAAAAACCAAAAAAACAAAGAAAGACTTCCAGATGTACATGAAAATGAAAAGTTAAGTCAACTATGGTAATTATTGGCACAATAAGGCTGTGATTCTGACTCTTGTTTTGATGAGCAAAATAGGAAGCCAATTAGGTAGAGGTTCAAAAGAGTAGAGGCAGGACGTTTCAAGGGAAGCGGTTAGTGACGATAGGCATGACCATAAAAGTTACCTGTGATGGATCTTTAGTTAGACTAAGCTCCTCTGCCTCCCGAAATTAAGATTCCTACCTTCAAAGCGTCTTTCATCTGAGAAACAACCTCTGGTGGTCGTCGCAAATTCTCCTCTGGCCCTCAGTTTTGAATCCAGAATTAAACCTTATGATGTGTCAAAAGTGGATATACGAGGGCTGTCTGGAAAGTATCCAGCCATGGACTATGTTCTTGTTACATTAACAATGGCTGGCTACTTTCCAGACAGCCCTTGTATATCTGACATACATTTGGCATCAGCAGAGTGGAAATTTATTTATTCATTCATTCATGCAACATGTATTTATTGAGCACCTGTTGTATACAGCACTGTTGTAAGCACTGGAGATAAAACAGTGAACAGAAAAGACAAAAATATTTCCTCCTATAGAGCTTGCAGAGAAAGATAACAAATACGTTTGCAGAGAAGAAGACAACAAATAAGTTAAATAAACAAACTATGTCAGATGGCAATAAAAAAGGATGAATAGAGTGGGGAGAGGGGATGTGGAGTGTGGAGGTGAAGTATAGATAGAGTGGCCATGGGAACACCTTACTGAGAAGGAGAGATTTGAGAAAAGACCTGAAGGAAGAGATATAGCTTTAAATATCTGAAGGAAGAACATTCTAGGAAAGGCCCTATGGCAGGAATGAACTGGAACACACAAGGAACAACAAGGAGGCAGCACAGCACCAGGGGAGTGAGAAGAGGCAGAGCAGCAGGAGACAAGGTCAGAGAGGTCGTGGGGACCAGAGCATGGGGGTCCTGAGAGGTCCTGCTAAGGGCTTTGGCTTTTTACTCTGAGAAGTCATTTGAGGGTCTGGAGCAGAGGAGTGGCATCTGACTTAGGTTTCAACAAGATCCCCCTGCAGCTGGGGAATGAAAGGGATGAGACTTAAAGCAGAGACAGGAGACTGTTGCCACAGTCCAGGCAGCTGATGGTGGTGGCTTGGATATGGGGGCAGCAGTGAAGCGGTGAGAAGTGTATGAACTCTGGATATTCTTAAAAGGTAGATCTGAGACTTTTCAGTGGGTTGGCAATGGGATGTAAGAGAAAGAGTCAAAGATGACTTGAACATTTGTGACCTGAATAACTGGCAGAATAGAGTTGCCTTTAACTGAGTTGGGGAAGAGTATGGGAGAGGAGGTTTTAGAGGGGAACTTCAGGAGCTCAGATTTGGACCTGTCACTGGAGATACCCATCAGACATCCAAGAGGACCTGGGAGGGGAGGTGTGAGGGGCAGGTGTAAATTTGAGAGTCATCAGCACATGAATAGTATGTATTCGAAGCCAAGAGGCTGGATAAGTGAGTGTAGACAGAAGACTGAAGGGTCCGAGAGCTGAGTCCTGGGCACACTTGCATTTAGAAGTTGGAGGGTTGAGTACGAAGTAGCAAAGGAACCTGAGAGGAATGTACAGAAAGTAGGAAGAAAACTGTGCAATTGTGGTTTTCTGGAAGCCAACTGGAAAGGGGCCTCACAGATGGTCTGTGTCAAATGCCGCTATTAGGTCAAGTTAGTTGAGGACGTGACCATTGGATTTATAGTGTAGAAGTTACTGGGAATGGTCTTAGAAACCGTGTCGTTAGTGGAGTGGTGGGGCAAAAAGCTGATGGAGTCAGTTCAAGAAAAAACTAAAGGAGAGGGACTGGAGGTAGAGGCAGATCTCTCAAGAGTTTTGCCATAAAGGGAAGGAGAGACATGGGTCCCTTATGAAGGGCATGGCTGGGTGAGACGGTGTTCTCAGAGAAGCAGAAGCAAAAGCCTGTGAGTCAGTGAGTGGACACTTACATTTTATCAGGACCACTCTGGCTGCTGTGTTAAGAAAAGACTGAAAGAGCATCCTTTTATTCTGAGCCATCAGTGGTGGCCAAATCCCATGCTTTTTTAATATGCTAGCTGGCAGATATTACCAGAAATGTGCATGGGTGAGTCGGCAAGAAGCCGTGGCATCAGGATGAGAAGCAGAGCTAAGGCTCGCACAGGCGTGGAGTAAGAGTGTCTGTTGTCAGGAGCACAGTAGAGACAAGTGTGGGAACATCACCATGGGCTCCTTGCCAGGAATTGATACCATAAAACTGACCCCACTGCCTTAGGAACCAGAAGTGGTATGAGGACAGTGCTGCTCTGGTGTCCTGAAATCTCTCTTTCAAATGAAGTACTAACCTTTGTTATATAACTATGAAATGGAAAGGTCACAATTTATCCTTAGGAGGTGGAAAAGAGGGGGACTGGAATGGGGTCGTTGCTCTAGTCCTACCCTAGATTGGAAAAGAAAAAGATCATGTCTGCTTTCAGCTCCCTTGTTCCCTTCCATTCATTACAGGTCAGGGTAAGGGGAGTTATTTTATCATGACACATTCCATTTGGAATCTCCCTGGGCAATTTGTTCTACCCCCTCGTAGTCTCCAAGTAGCTCACCTTGTGGATAGGACCGAGCATGGCTGCTTGGCTGTGGTAGGAACCCTTTGGAACACTTCTCTTAGTTTCCTTAGCCAAACTGGAAGCCCCACTCTATATAATTTCTATTCTGACTTCTTCCCAGGAAAGGGTGCTTTGGGGAAGACTGGGGCATCTGTTTTTCCCATCTCACTGTAGTGCCTATGCCCATGAAACTTGGCATATAAAGAAAACTGCAGGAGAGTTTGGATATTCCTGGGATGAGATGGGGATCTCTGATATTCCTGATACGGGGCTCAGGGTGAGAAAGTGCCCTGGGCCTGGGTCATAGGGCAGAGGATGAGGTAAGGGGAAATTAGTAGATATAATTTAAAGAAGAAGAATTTTGTTCAATGGGAATATGAATAAGCAAAAGTACTTAAAGCATACTGCCATGGGAGACGTAGATGCCATGTCATCAAGGAGCTATTTGGAAATAATATTGGCTCATGGAGATTCTCAAATTCTAACCCCAGCCCCTCTCCCCCCAACTCTGCCTCCCTGACTTTTCTCTGAGGGCTGTGACCCACCCATGCCCCACTATTGCTGCTTTTCAATAAGCTCCCTGGGACACCACAAGGGTGGAGGGAAGGGGACTGGGCTCAGTTAAAGGCACCCCTCCTCCACCTCAAGAGATGGGTCCAGCATTCGCAGTGTGAAAGTGTCCTCATGAGAACACCTTTCTCGTGAACAGATTTGAAAAATGTCAATCTACATGACTAAATTCTAAATCGAGGCCTTGAGTGTGACATTGGTGTGTAATTTTAGGATTTGCTTTTGCTATGCAGGCAGTTGATAAAGTACAGTGTGCGGAACTGTTATTTATCTGTGCAATGTTTCTTCACAGCCCATGCCCAGATAATTGAGATTTTATTGTTCCATGTTAGCTGCACTTGAGTACATGTGTTTTTGGGTACTTGTCCTTATGTCTTTTTTTATGCATTTCCACTATATTAAACGGCAACGTCTACAATTTCTGTTTCTTGGGCACTTAAGGTTAAGGCCCTAGGGAAGACACATCAGTTTTGCAGAGTGCTGAATAAACGCTGCTAACCTCTAGGCAATAGTTTATGTAGGGTGCAAGTACGAATGATGCAGAGTAAATTGTTAATCTGATTTCTTCATTTTTAGAAAAAGTGCTATACATATATCTATAATTTAATTAGAATAATGTTTTCCATTTAAACATATTTAATGTGTTGGCTCCAATCATTTATTTTTAGAAAATTGCTAGACATCCTCACTATATTTCCACATAAGTAAGCTTCTTAGTATAGATCAGAAAATGTAGAATGATTTGACTCTGCTGCCCCCAAGATTTGAGCCCTTACTGCACATGTGCCAGGTTCTGTAGGCCCTCTCCTCTAATCCTGGTCCCAGAGATACACACTCGCACCTGTTACCCAAGATAGGACCACAGGATAGCCTACAGGGCTCAAAAACATCTTGGAGTTCAAAGGAGAGGGAGAGCACATCAGTTAGGGAAGGTCCGGGAGGCTTTGTGAAGGAGATGGTGTGAAAGATGGCTGGACGTTCATTAGCTCCAAGCTGGGAAAAGTTTTTCTAGCCAGGTAGAGGTAAGGGCCTCTGTAAAGGTGTGGATGTGAGTGCCCTGTGGCTGAGTTAAGGTAAATACAGGAGCACACTGGCCCCTAGTTTGATTGGAACACATGGGTTTTAAAGTGGGGTAAATTGGGAGGAAAATGATAATTCTAATGACAATAGCTGTCACCTGGGAGCGCTTTACATAGACATTCTCTTTTAATTTGGAAAAGCAGGTCAGGTCTATATTTGTTAGAGAGTTTTTCATGGAAGAGCAGTATCGTCAGAGCTGTGGTAAAGCAGGTGTGTACAGAGACAAAGCCCAGGGAAGAGCAGAAGGCAGAGAGAGCGCTCAGGAAGCTGTTTGTACGTTCTCTGCAAGAAGTGAAGAGGGCCCAGATTATTCCACTGTGAATTTAGGCAAAAATGCAAAGTCGGTTGCTAACTAGATTGGGTTGATAGACTAAAATTTGGCCTGAAAAGGCCTCTGCACTTCCATACTTGAGTTCTTACCCACAAATCACAACTTAATTTAGTAGGTAAGCCACTGCAAACCTAGCTTAGGAGACTGCTTCCGTGACAATAGTTGAGTCTCAGCCAATCACAGCGGCTAGACTTCAGCCACTCACAGGTGGCCAGCTGTTCAAATCACGTTCAATACGGCAAACCCCAGCTGTAACCAATCCAGCTGTTTCTGTGCCGCACTTCTGATTTCTGTCCATACATCTTAAGAGACCATGAAGCAGCCCTGGAGTCTCTCTGCATCTGTTCTGATTCTGGGCACTGCCTGATCTGAGAATCATTTTTTTTTTTCTTGCCCAGTCAGTCTCTGTTAAATTTAATTTGTCTATAGTTTTTCTTTTAACAGTTGAAATCAGAATTCATTTTTAGCTTCCGATGGCAGTCTCTGCTAAAAATTGTATTTTCTAATGCAAGACACTTCAGTGGAATCTTGAGGACCTAGATGACCTGACGTTCTGTGCCAGGTTCCTTCTTTGGATATGGAAACCAAGAGTCAGTCAGGCCCACATCACTTCGTGTTATCTGAGACAGAAACCTGGAGGACACCTGGAGACTCTCCCCTCTCCCTCATTCTCCACTGTCTCTCTGTCCCCAGCTAAGTGGGGATCAGACTGTTGATTTTCTCTCACATTTCACATACCAAAGCCTCTCCAAAAAGCTCTGATTCCTTGAATGTTCAAGCTTTAATCTGTCGTGAAATACTAATCCTGGTATTAACTGTCTTGCAGATTCCATCGTGATTGGATTCTGGGTTGGTCTTGCTGTCTTCGTGATCTTTATGTTTTTTGTGCTGACCTTGCTGACCAAGACAGGAGCCCCACACCAAGAGTAAGTCTGGCTTGTCCTGAAGGTCTGTTAAGCCCCACATGGAGCGGAGGAAACAGAAGCTCCTGCCCAGGGCTGGGGCTGCTTCCAGTGGTGGAGAGAAGGGGCTGGTTGTGGGTTTGCTGCCCAGACCTGGGCGCCTGTGGGTAGAATCCCACTTTCCTCCTGGCTTTTTGCCTCTTGCTTCTGGGGCTTATTTTCGATTTGATTTTTATAAATTTGGATTTCTTGGTCTTTTGCTGCAGTCTTAATGCTGATCCAGGCCTGATTTTTATGTTGTGATATATATTAATTAGGACGTATTTTCTCCTATTCCCAAAAGGATTTAGATTATGCACCAGATTAAAAACAGTGGAAAAGACAATGGCAAAAATAGGATGAAAACTAGTTTCAAAAAATATTTTGAGAAACAGAGACATAATTGTTACTGGACACTCAGCTAAATTAATTAGTGACAATGATCACTGAGTTCTCTTGAAACTAAGATAAAAGGGAAACACTGTGGATTACATAATTCTCATAGCATGGCAAAGAACATTAGCGTAGGGCTTTGGATTTATGTAGGAAATTACTACATGGGTGCTTAACACATTGATTGCCACACTAGGAAAAAAAAAACATTTTTCCCTGGGGCCACCGTATTTTATTAAAACAAAATGATCCTGTCTAATTTGTTATTTTTTATTGTTTTCTGTGCGTGAGTTATATGCAATGCAATCTATGTTTTTAGAATTAAATTGTCCATATTAATTGTAACAATAAGACCATCAACAAGTAAATTTTCATGAACCAACTGCAGGGTTTTGCTTCACATGGCCCTGGGTTCAAAACTAGGCTGACTTAAATACAACTCACATGGCAGTTAATGGGTTAAAGAACATTGAGTAACATCAGCATTTGTTCAGTTATGGTTTGTAAAAAATTCAGAAATGTCTTAGAGGATATATATATATTTTATACCAACTCTTCAACAAAAGGGAAAACAGAGTATGTTGAATACCTCATCACTTGGTCCCAACAGGCAACAAATACCACATTCATATTGCTAATTAAAAGAGCTTTTGATAAAGGGGCTATTTACAAGTCATGGACAAGGAAGAGTGCAGGACCCCAGGGCTAGCAACACTGAGGCGCAGTTACCACCCTAGATCTCAAGGGGGGCAGTTACTGGAACCCAGGAGTCAGCCGAGAGGGGCTGTGACCTTGGGTGGAGGGGCATAGCTAGTCCAATGTGGCTTCTTAGGGAAGGAACCTCAAAATAAAGAACCTCACTCTTGCCTCCCTCCCCGTCTCTCCCCTTTGCTCCCCATGCTGAACTTGAACACAACCTGCAGCCAGAGGCTCCACCCAAGGCCAGTTTCCCAGAGCACAGAGCAGGAGGGAGGGGGAGAGAGCCAGGAGAGCAAATGGAAGAGACCCTAACAGGTTTACACTCTGTATCTTATTTACCCTGGCAGCCTGGCCCAGCACTCCATGGTCATGTCTCCTCACCCAGTCTCCACTGTCTGTTGTTCATTCTTCAGCCTGCACTTGAACTATAACAAATGCCTGGGCAAAGGGGGTAGTTCTGTTCTTCATGCAGCTATTTCCAGACATCGAGCTGGAAAAAAAATTTAGACACAAGCATTTTAAATGAAAGGAAAGTATCGTTTTATTGAAGCATATGGAGACATACGGCTGAGAGTCTCTTTAGCAGCCACTCAAAAGACATGAACTTTCTCTTTTCTCTCTTCATGTCCTCATAAACATGCACACGTGCCTTTGCTTCTATTAGGTTGGTCCAGGGAATTTGCAAATATGGTGTGGATTGCAAGAGTAGTAAGAAAAGCTGAAAATAAACCCAGATTAGGGCACATTTCAGAGTAGTAGTTAGGGAATAATAATACTTTGTTATTTTTCTTTTCCTCAGAGGGACAGATGGGTTTTGCAGGGTTTTGAGAGGGATGTATGAGAAGACAGGTGATGTTACAGATGGGAACACTCTAGCACAAAATAGAATGTGACTTCCTGTGATGGCTAATTTTGTGCATCTATCTATCAAACCAGGCTGGTACCCATGTATTGGGTCAAACATCATTCTAGATGTTTCTATGAAGGTATTTTTTAGATAAGGTTAACATTTAAATCAGTATACTTTGAGTTAAGCAGATTACCCTCCACAGTGTAAGTGGGCCTTATCCAATTCAGTTGAGGGCCTTAAGAGAACAAAGACTGACCTCCCCAAGCAAAAAGGAATTCTGCCAGTAGGCTGTCTTTGGACTGGAACTGCAACTTGTCCCTGCATCTCCAGCCTGCTGGCCTACTCTATAGATTTTGGACTTGCCAGCCTCCAGAATTGAGTAAGCTAATTCCTTAAAATAAACCTCTCTCTTTATACACACACACACACACACACACACACACACACACACACACACATATGTGAGTGTCACGTTGGTTCTTTTTCTCTGGAGATCCCTGACTAATCCACCTCCATGAGGTGTCATGGTGACCCTGGGTAGCCATGACTTGCATTTCTAGCCTTCTGGTTGTCAGTTCACTCCTGTTGCTAGATGATCTTTCTTTTTGATGGCAGTTCTGAACAATGCTCAATCACAGAACAGGGGTCATTGTCACCCTGTGTGCTTCTATCAAGATTAAGGAGAAACTCTGAATTTTTTCCTTTTGATAAAATAATGGATCAGCCTTCAGGACCAGCCTTTAAATGCTTCGGTGCCCAGTCTCAGGCAGTGTAAAATATGGCATTTGGTTGCAGTATATCGTAGAAGAAAACTGAAAGAATCAGACATGTGGAAAAACCCTCAAATGAATCCATTGAAAAGACGTTTAAATCTTAGCAAGCTGGACGTTTATTTGGCAGGAATTTTCTCCTCAAGTGTACATTGTTTTTTCCATATAGCTAACTTTAATAGAAAACAGTCAATTTTAAGTTTGTGATAAACAGGAGTCAGGGGAGAAGAATCATTCTTCATCATTGAGAAGAATAATAGCCATTTTTTTGAGTGTTTACCCTGTGCCAGTGTCCACTAATCACTTTGTAGGTATAATCTCACTATGTTCTCACAGGATGAAGTAAGTTCCATAAGTGGTCCCACTTTACAGATGAGAAAAGTGAGACTGAGTCACTCGTCTGTGGTCTCATGGGTTGAAAAAACTATAGAGTCAGGTCTCAAACTAAAGCCTCTTTGGTGCTGAAATTCCTATCGTTAACCACTATGCTAAACTATTTCAGATTGGTAATTTTTAATCTCTTCCTTCTTGTTGAACCAAAGATGTTAGCAAGCAGCCATATTTATTTTCTCTTGTCACATCCTGGGCCAAGCATGGACTCTAGAGTTAAATACTTCCAGGTTTACTTATTGAGACTTTGGGCTGAATTCTTAACCTCTCTATGCTTGAGACTCCTTATGTATAAAAATGAAATAGTATGTGCCTCCTAGGATTATTGTAAAGATGAAGTGAGAAGAGTGAGCAGACTGTGCAGCTGCTTGCAAAGCTGGGCTCACGGTGTCCCTCAGTAAAGGCCAGTCACTGGTGCAAGCTGAAGGGTCTGGGTAGAGAGTGGGAGGGAGAAGAAAAAGGAACCCATCCTCCCACAAATTGCCTTGTATCCACACTGGACAAAACATTGCCTCATTTTGCTCCTGCCTCAGTTTGGCTGTGTCTTGCAGGGAAACAGTAAGATGAGTCTAAAAGACAGCTAAGTAGAGAACCCTGGCGATGGGTCAGGAGCAACATGTCTGAATTCTGACTGCTTTATGTGTCAGGCTCTCTGGGTGGTTTGTCACAAAGAAATGTTACTTGCTCATGTAGGGTATCAGGCAGCATCCTTTTGGAACGTACAACTCTAACAGTCTGGTTAAGGTGCCTGATCAAGTCCAAAAGCTCAGGATGGACTAGTGCTAGATCTACCATTTAATTTAATTTTTTTCTCCATGGAGGCATCTCAGGGCAGGGCCGAGTGCTGACACATAGAAAGAGTATGAGCATCCCTTCGACAGTAGTGAGACACAAACTGGCAGGTACCACCGCCCGTGCCCCCACTCACTGTGCCCATGCACACAACAGACGTTACCAATTGACTGTGTCCTCTTCCCTGCATGGCCAAGACCTTGCCTCAGAATCATTTTCAAAGCAGAGCTCCAGGCCGCTGCCAGAAATCACAGTTTACCTGAGAGAGAACGTATATTTGCCATCTGTGGCTGGACTTTCCTTTAATAGTATTGGATGGCAGGAATTGAGGTCCATTCAACTGCACGGAGCCAATGACACCACAATAAAATAGGCATTGTTTTCCCTCTGAAATTTTCGATTTGGGATTGTGGTAGGATAAGAACCTCTATTCTGGAATCACTACTCCCTGGCTTCTGTTAAGGGAAGGAATGTGTAGCAGTCAGGCTAGGCTAGGCTACGAGACAGTGACAGATAACTCCTCAAAGCTCAGTATAACACAACGACAGTTTATTTCTTGCTCAGACTACATGTCTGCTGTGGTTGGCAAGGGGCAGACAGAAGCTTCTCCAATTAGAGTGGCACTGCCTTTACCACTCAGCCTTCTGGGCTGCTGAGACAGGGGAGGAGCTCACCTGTAGACCTCAGCCAGCCCTTCTCTTCTTCAGCCCGGAAGTGGTGCATGGCCCTTCCCCCCACAGCTCATTGGTCGGAACCAGCCACGCCCACCTGGCTGTGGGCGGGCGTGGGGCGCCTTCCGCAGGGGAGAGTGAGACACTGGTCAGCGCTGGGAAGGTGTGTACTGCAGAGGGAAGAAAGACCGTTATAAAGCTGACAGCACCTTTCTTAAAAGCTTTTAGGCCTAAGAAGCAGCTTTGATAGGGATTATTTTTTCCATGGAATATTTACTGTTGTGTGGGAGGGAAAAGCTCTTATCTGGATTCTTTATGGACAATGAAGATAAAAGAACCATTTCCTCCTGCCTTCTCAGCTAAGGAGCCATTTACTCTGTGGGCTGTCTTGTTAAAGCATTATAGCCCCATTATCATAAA